AGCATTTTTTATTCTTTGCTTGAATCAAAGAGCTGACTACATTTTTTGCTTCATTATGCCTAGGAAATAACCACACTATGTCAAAAGTGATATTTTGATTGTAGCAGACTTTACAACAATGAGAGACAGCCTCTTTAAATTGTTGAATCCAGGTACCAGATGTGATACTCAACTGGTGTCAGTGTGGTCACTTGGGTGAAATAAGCTCCTTAAAACCAGCTGTCAATAATTCCATTAAAAAGTGCACAAAGGACCTGAATAGATATTTCTCAAAAGAAGACATTCAGATGGCCAACAGGTATAGGAAAAAAATGCTCAACATCACTAATCATCAGAGAAATGCAAATCAAAACCACAAGAAGATATCATCTTAGCCTAGTTAGAATGGCTACTAAAAAAAAAAAAACAGACAAAAAATAACAGACACTGATGAGTATTTTTTTTAAAAAAAAAGAACTCACATATACTGCTGGTGGGAACATAAACTAATACAGCCATTACAAAAAACAACATGAAGATTTCCCAAAAATCTAAAAAGTGAACTACCATAAAATCCAGAAATCCCACTACTGGGTATTTATTGAAAGGAAAGAAATCAGCTATCAAAAAGATACCTGCACCCCCATGCTTACTGCAGCACTATTCACAATAGGAAAGACGTGGAATCAACCAAGTGCCCATCAGCAGATTAATGGATAAGGAAAATGTAGCATATATACACAATGAAATACTATTTGGCCATAAGAAAGAATGAAATCCTGTCATTTGCAGCAACATGGATGGAACTGAAAGTCATTATCTTAAGTGAAATAAACCAGGTACAGAAATATAAATACTTACACATGATCTCACTCATCTGTGAAAGCTAAAAAACATTGATCTTGTGAGGTAAGAATAGAATGATATTTAAGAGAGGCTGGGAGGGTGTGGAGGAAGGGGAATAAAGAGAGGTTATGTTTGTATGGATACAAACACACAGTAGATAGAAGGAATAAGTTCTAATGTTTAATGACAGAGTAGGGTGTCTATAGTTAACAATGTAATGTATATTTCAAAATAGCTAGAAGAGAGGACTTAAAATGTTCTCAAAATATAGAAATGATAAAGCTCAAGGTGATGGATATCTTAAATACCCTGACCGGATCATTACACCTTCAATGCATGTAACAAAATGACACCTGTTCCCCTATAAGTAGGTAAAAATACTGTGTATTGATTTTTGTTTGTTTGTTTCTGAGATGGAGTCTCGCTCTGTCATCCAGGTTGAAGCACTGTGGCATGATCTCGGCTCACTACAACCTCCGCTTCCAGGGCTCAAGAGTTTTTCGTGCCCCAGCCTCCTGATTAGCTGGGATAGCAGGCCTTTGTTGCCATGCCTGGATAATTTTTGTATTTTCAGTAGAGACAGGGTTTCCCCATTTTGCCCAGGCTGGTGTTGAACGCCTGAGCTCAAGTGATCCACCCACCCCAGCCTCCCAAAGTGCTGGGATTACAGATATGAGCCACCACATTCAGCCGATTAAAAAAAAAAAAAAAAAAAGTGTTCTTTGAAATTAATCTGTCTCTAGGATCTCAGTTTAAAATAACTAAGTGACATTGAACTATTCTTTCTACAGTTTTTTTTTAATGTTACATGGTATATAATGAGTTTTTAAAAGCCATATTGAAAAATTCACTAAAGGCAGCAGCGCAAACCTATGCGGCCCTCAGAAAGGTAAAGATATTTCTTTATAGATTGCAAGATTCATTGACTAGGCTACAAAACTTTGTGATGGTCGCATAATTATACCTTCAAAGCTGTATATCCAGAAACTGACCATCTCTCACCATTTCTGCTGAAACAGCCCTAGTGCAAGCCACCATCGTCTCTCTTGCCTGATGACTGCAAAAACCACCATGGGTCTCCCTGCTTCTAACCTTTCTTCTTGAAGTCTCTTCTCAACATACATCCAGAGAAACTCCTTTTAAACTTAAGTTACTCTGACCAAAGCCCTCCAGTGGCCCCCAGTTTTACTCAGAGGAAAAAGACAAAATAGCCTGCATGGTCCTATGTGATCTGGTCCCTAGTTTTCTCTCTGACTCATCTCTCACCTTTGCTTATACTCTAATCACTTTGACCTACGTGCTGTTCTTTAAATAAGTCAGATACACTCCCTATTTAGGGTCTTTGCACTTGCTGTCTACTCTGCCTGGAAAGCTCTTCTCCATATCTCCATGACTAATTCCCTTATCTCCTTCAAGTCTTATTCAAATGTCAGCTGCTCAATAAGGTCCATCCTGACCACTCTATTTAAAGTGCTCACCTTTGTGCTCCCAGCACACTCAATCCTCCTTAGCTTGCTCTGCTTTTCATTTCACCCTGCCCTGAATCACCTTCTAACATGCTATATAATATTTGTCATGGTTATTAGTTATCTATTTGACATGTCCCCACTTCCAGCTACAACATAAGCACCAAGAAGAATCCTTTTGTTTTCCATGATATGACTCCAGTGCCTGGCATGTAGCAGGCGCTCAACAAATATTTGTTGCATAAATTCATTTTGTTTGAAAAAAACAGACTTCCTGTACTTAAGACAGAATGTTCTATAAAAAGGTTGGAAGGACTCTTGGAAAGATCCCTAGAACTCCCATTATTTTGGTAAATGGAGGACTCAAAGCCTATTGGGCTCTCTTTTATACTTTAATTACTATTATATTTTTAGTCAATTTGTATTAAAAATTTAACCAGAACAGCATAAAACTAAACACATGGCAGATATGTGGAACTAGCAAAACCAGGCCATAGGCATAGTATTTGAAGGGGTTTTTGTTTAAGAGCTCAGAGAAATCTAAAAGAGCAACCAGGCTGTGATTGCAACCAATGCCGAAAGAGGCAGGGGGAGATATGTTCAGAAAGATGAATCTAAAAGTCACAGTTGGCAGGTCTCAGTGGCTCAGGACAGCAGTCCCAGCACTTTGGGAGACCAAAGTGGACAGATCACTCGAGGAGTTTGAGACCACCCTGGCCAACATGGGGAAAACTCATCTCTATCAAAAATACAAAAATTAGCCAGGCATGATGGAGCACACCTATAATCCCAGATACTTGGGAGGCTGAGGCATGAGAATCTCTTGAGCCCAGGAGACAAAGGTTGCAGTAAGCCAAGATCGCGCCACTGCACTCCAGCCTGGGCAACAGAGGGAGACTGTTGCAAATAAATAAATAAATAAACTCAAAACCACAAAAATTCGTTTAGATAGTGAGTGGCTCAAACATAAGATACAAGATTAGGTTGGAATGGTTGGGCAAGACAATTTCCTGCAGGATCTCTTTCAAAGGAACCATCTTTTTAGCCTCACAATATTTAAGGCCAAAATATCAGGTAAATATTCGTCATCACTTCACTTTCCTGTAATTCTCTCAATGCTTCATATTTGCTGTTTTTGCAAAATGTAGACGGGGCTCTACTACTATAGCCCAGTGGCAAAATAAATGCCTCCATAGACCTTTCAAAGCTCATTCCTGTGAGTCAGACTACCAGACAGAATTCTGTCTTCAAAGGCTACTGGGCTACATTCAGGGGCTGAAATTTAAAAGGGCCCTTCTATATTTTTTGATACCCTGAACCTATGTCTTAACATCTGAAGATCAATACAAAAGAGATCAAAAGAGTGATAGATTTTTCTCCTGTGGAATAATTCTCAGCCAATATTTGATTCTTTTATCCCATAGAAGTCATCCCTGATAGTCATCACCATTCCTATGTTTGCTTAGTGAATTCAAATGTAGAAGTACCAACCCGAGGCATCTATAAATTGCACGTGAAGTCTAATTTTAATCAATTTCACATTAACTTTTATTGAAGTGCTCAATAAAAATAATCATTTTCTTGAACCCTAGTAAATTATATGCATGCTGAAGTGTTCAGGGAAAAGCATATTGATGTCTACAATTAACCTTAAAATGAATCAAAGTACAAGATAGATTAATGGAGGGGTAGAAGAATAGATAAGTGACAGAGCAAGCATATTAAAATGTTAATGATGTAAGCTAGATCCAGAGTACACACATATTCTCTATGAATTCTTTTAATTTTTCTATAGGTTTGAAAAATTTTATTTAAAAATTAAGTAGTTAGCTTATTTATTAAAAGTATATATGGTAGGCCGGGTGTAGTGGCTCACGCTTGTAATCTCAACACTTTGAGAGGCCGAGGTGGGCACATCACCTGAGGTCAGGAGTTGGAAACCAGCCTGGGCACATGGTAAAACCCCATCTCTAACAAACACACACACACACACACACACACAAACTAACTGGGATTAGCTGGGAGTGTTGCTGCCTGTAGTACCAGCTACTCTGGAGGGTGAGGCAGGAGAATGGCTTGAACCTGGGAGGCAGAGATTGCAGTGAGGTGAGATCATACCACTACACTCCAGCCTGGTCAACAAAGCAAGACTCCATGTTAAAAAAAAAAAGAAAAGAAAGGAAAAGAAAAGTATATATGATAATCAAATGTAAAGAGAATGGTAGTCAAACTATGTGAATCCTGGGAAATTAAACAGAGGAGATTCACTTCTCAAAATTGCCCCAATTGCCTCTGGGACTACTCTGAGAGGGAGAGTCATTTTTTATCTGAGTTTTTTATCTCTACTACGTCTGTTTAGTCATTAAATACTTGATGTTTTCTTCTTCCTTTGGCCTTACCATTGTAAACTAGTCTCCAATTTTAAAGTCCCCCAAAGCTTTGTATCAATGAAATAATTCATAAAACCTGCATGAGTCCCCCATAACATAAGTCAAGTTCTTCTTTCCACACAGATGGTAAATCCTAGATGCATTTCCAAATATTTCATGCCTTCCTGATCAATAAGTGTTCAAAGAGTTGCAAATCCCCTTTATCATAGTTTTCATTTTAGGTGTTACTCTTTCTCTCATATCTAACGAGTATTCTTTTTTAGAGGGTGTGGTTTTTTAGGGAATGTGTCCTTTTTTTAGGGGGTGTGGTTTCTCTTACCTCAATTTCTCTTCATTTCTTTGCTACTAACGATCTTTCTTTCAAAAACTCTCTTTTTCATCTGTTTATACTTTTGTATGGCTTTGTCTCTTTCAGCATGTGAATGAAAGATAAGAAATGCATTTGCAAAAATAAATAGAAATAAACTAAAAAACACCAACCCATAAAACTATTCCTGGGAAAAGAAAATTCCTCTTACCTGGCAAAATCTTTCAGGCTGGTCACTTCAATTTCTCTTTCTTGTCTTCATTACTTAAGAAGCTATGATTTGAGCCTCAGGAATTCCCTAGAGCACAGGAAGCCTCAAGGGCACAATGACACTTCAGCTTTTCCAGTGTTTAATACTCTCCCAGGGCTGTGGAAGGAGAGCAAGGGGAGGAGCAAGGGTTGTGTTTATGGTAACTGACACATTGCTTGCACTCATACATGCTTTATTGCCATTAAATAAAAATGATTATTCACTCTGTAAACACTGGTCTTGAAAATGAACGCAAAAACATAAGAGACAGCATCCTCCAAAAAAAAAGAATAAAGTAATATAAATGAAACTACCCTTTTATAATTTTAATTAAAATTCTCAAGAATAAAAATTAATCATACTTATCCCTATTTCAATGTTTTAGTTTTTACCTAAAGTCTCTAGGCTGTAAGTTTCCTTGAAAGCAGGAACTGGGTGTCATTCATCTTTGTGTCATTCATATCCCCTGATATCCCATAGTAAACAGTCTTACACAGATTGAGTCTCAACACACCATATATAATGGATGAATGGACTAATGGATGAATGGATTCATGGTTGGATGGATTGATGGACGGATGAATGAATGAAGAAATAATTTAATGAATTAAACAATGACATATGCTCCCTGCATTGATATGCTTTACCTAGGCAGGGAAGCACAAATGTCTATATAAACCTTGGGTACTCTAAACTAGCCCATGTCAATCAGATTATAGATTAGGGTGGAGGTGTGTGTGTGTGTGTGTGTGTGTGTGTGTGTGTGTGTGTGCGCGTATCCATTTATATGCATAAGTTAGGGTAAGAGTTAAGCTGCTATAACAAGAAATCTAACAATAATATGGCTTAGAGGACAAAAAAGACTGTTTCTTTCTCACACTGTTTAGTCCAAAGTAGGTATTCCAGGTCAGCGAAGGCTTTTCTCTCCATACTCATTCAGAGACCCAGATGAATGCAGACATGTCGCATTCAACACACGGCATCCGAGGTTTCTGCAAGTATCACCAGAGTAGCCAGTGGGAAGGGTGAAAGAGCTAAGCCCAGGGACTTCCTCCTAAGCAAGAAAGGCAGAAATGGCTCACATCACTCCAACTACCATTCCATTAGGCAGAGCTTGGTCACACAGCCATGCCCAGCTGCAAGGAGGGCTTGGTTTCCAGCCAGGCAGCCCACGCTCAGTTTAACTCTATTACCACAGAAGAAGGGGAGAGATGATGGATTAGGAGTGAGGGGGTCAGCTACCATCACCATCATATTTTGTATACATGCTTATCACCACTATCTCAAAATCAGAGGACCAATACTTGGAATGCAGTGGTGTTTGGTTTCTGGCATAAGTATTCGAGGAAATGGGGTCAAATGAAGTTTCCTGAAATAAACTGTCGCTGAAAGATAGTCTGTCATTAACAGAGTTTAAATTTATGCTTCTCTGGGTTTTTCCAGGATTGCTAAATTTATACGGAAAACCTACAGTGCCTCCTACTCAGAGGATAACTTCCAAAATGATAGACTAGTTCATTCGTCATCAATGTACCCTTAATTTACCCATAATGTAAAGATAACAGGGGCAAAGTTTTGTTCTGCTTGGAAATAGAGTCACTTAGCATATAGCCAAGAAGCAATGTGTTTCCCAAATATTCCCATTCCCTCAAAGAAACGTTATCATGCATCGAATTCTTCAGCAAAAACAGTTAAGCTCAGCTACTTATTGCCATGCACTGATTCTTCTGCCCCTATCTTCTCAGGAAGCAGTGTTCTGTCCTCTGACTCACTCACCCAGTAACATTCCCTACCTCAAGTCTCTGTTTTATTCTTCCAGAGCCATCTGGAGTATCTTGGATACCAAGATGACCTTGAGCTCAAGGTCTTGAACTCTGTCTAAGACTGACCCTGGTTAATTAGAAAGGTCCTTATTTCTTCTGTTATTTCAGGGTTTTCACCACTTTTGTCTACTCTGTCTCCTGTCTTTGACCCTCAAGACATCTTCCTACTCTTTCTGGGTGCTATTCCCTCACAAGGGAGAAGCTGGCTGGTCTAGTTTGGATTTCTCCCAAAGCTGATCCTGAGACAAGAACTTGGATGTAGGTGATTTATTTGGAAAGTGATCCAAGGAAGCAAGGGAGGAATAGGTAAAGTAAGACCTGAAGAAAGAAAAGACAAGACGTGTGCTTTCATGAGTGTGCTATCTCTGTAAACAACTGGAATTCAATCCCACTGGGGACCTCTGAGCAACTCTATAAAAGGACACTCAGAACCGTCCCCATGAGAGACAGTTGCCAACCCTCAGTGGTTGAGGGTTGCCTTTGGGGCTGGAGGAAGTGCGTAAATCCCAGCACATCCCAGCTGCCCAGGAGGGAGGCTAAGCAGGCTCCCTTCTCCATGGGAAAACCCCTCATGCAGAGATGTTGATGCCTGGACACTCGTCATGGGAGGCAGAGCACATGCTCAGCAGCTGCCCCCATTAGGTGAGCTGAAAGACACACTGCAGGGTCCTGGACCAACAGAACCTGCTGCACTTGGCAACTTCCTCAAAATGGAATCTCCGCAGCCCAAGACCTCACTCACCCCCTATTTTCACCAGAAGTGGGACCAGATTCTTCAGATTATAGTCCATAACTCCATCCTCTTTGTTCTTACAAACATTTAAACCAAAATCCTGCCGGATGCAGTGGCTCATGCCTGTAATACCAGCACTTTGGGAGGCCGAGGCGGGCGGATCACCTGAGGTCGGGAGTTCGAGACCTGCCTGACCAACATGGTGAAACCCCCGTCTCTACTAAAAACACAAAATCCTGCCGGGCATGGTGGCACGTGTCTGTAATCCCAACTACTATGGAGGCTGAGGCAGGAGAATCACTAGAACCTGGGAGGCAGAGGTTGCAGTGAGCTAAGATCGTACCACTGCACTCCAGCCTGGACAACAAGAGGGAAACTCCTCCATCTGAAAAAAAAAAAAAAAAAAATTTAAATCCACTATTGCCCTCATCAGGGCTTAGTGGGTTTGTTTACTCCCTCATGGTTTCCCTCACTAAATTATGAGTTGCTCAGAGATAGAAATATCATCTTTACAATGATGGGCACATAGTAGGATCTCAACAAATATTCACAGAGTAAATCAGTGAGCAAATCATTTGAGGGTTGCCTTTGGGGCTTGGGGAAGTGCGTAAACCTCAATCATATGTTTAAACTTAAAAAAGACCTTCTGGCCAGGCGTGGTGGCTCGGGCCTGTAATCTCAGCACTTTGGGGGGCCACAGTGGATGGATCACTTGAGGTCAGGAGTTCGAGGCCAGCTTGGCCAACATGGTGAATCCCTGCGTCTACTAAAAACACAAAAATTAGCTGGGCGTAGTGGCGTGCACCTGTAATCCCAGCTACTTGGGAGGCTGAGAAAGGAGACTCACTTGAACCTGGGAGGTGGAGGTTGCAGTGAGCTGTGATTACTCCAGCCTGGGCTACAGAGCAAGACTCCAGCTCCAAAAAAAAAAAAAAAAAAAGCCTTCTCCAGCTTCCCCTTGTAACTGACATTGACATCACATTTCCACTTTAAATTACTTCTTGATGTTAGACTACAAAAGCTATGGTATTATTTTAAGAAAGACCCTGATCAAGAGCATATCTGACAGTTGGAGGGAAAAGAATCTCCCTTGTGAAGCTGTGTTTAAAAAAAAAAAAACCAAAACTGCTTTTGTTGATTAAAAAAAGACATAAGAAAACTTGTTTTCTGAAATCATAGACCATCGGAAACTTTACTGTTTGAAATCACATTTAATGAGAATGAAACGCCTCATTCTTGCCTGGAGGAGCTAAGTCATTTTAATACCAAAAAATACCCTGAATTTCCAGATGCAGAGCTACAGATAAAGGTTTTGCATGCAACATTCCACATTTATCTTAACTTTGTAGTTTCTGATGAAACAAGACAGTTTCAGGCTGAATGTCAACACTTTTATCCGCTGCCCTGCTTTGCTTTGAGCTAGCACACACTGCTTCATTTACATTTTACCTAAACCCCACCCCTCCCACAAATACAGTAACAAGCCTGTGTCTTCCTTTGTCAAGTGAGGTGCCTGCTGGTTTCTCTGACATGCGGTTCCCCTTGGTCACAGGTTAACCTAACATTGTTGAATAGTAAATATGCCCTTGGTGATCTTCATCAGATGAACTTTATCACGTCTAGTCAATTTGTTCATAACACAGATTAATCTATTGAAGTTGCTAGTGATTGCCATGAAAAGCACTTAGAGATAGACCCTGAGAAGGCTGGGCAGGTAAACTTCAGGTGGGAGCTAAGCCAGAATTTTTTAAGACCTGGAGGCTTTTAAGAGTATGGTAGACTTTTGGAAAGGGCAAATGTATGTGATGGACCTGAACCTAGAGTATAGGAAAGAGAGCAACAGCGAAACAGTCATTTGTTTTTGCATGCCTTAAGTGGTAACTACTCAACTTATGGGAAAATTCCATGTTCAGTTCCAGTGGGAATCGCTGACCACAGATCTCAGTCCACATACCACAGTCGGTCCAGGAATCGGGAATCACAGTTGACCCAATGCTGGCCAATCAGAGTTCTTCCTTAGGTTTTTTTTCCTAACATCTCTAGTTATGAAGCTTTACAGATGTGTGCTGAAGTTTCCTGTTGAGCTTTGTGGGGCAGCCAGCCTGACCCCAAAACACTGAGGAAGGCAGAGATAAAATCCTGAGAACATTCAAGTGACTGCATCCTGCCCTTTCCATGTGTTGGTGGCTTTTAAACATTTTGTTTTGTGTTGTTTTGTTTTTTTGGTTTTGCCCGGGTGTTGTCATTGTTTATGAGAATCAATATATTACCTTATTTGCTTCAACTAGCTCAATTTGAACTTTGGTCACTTATGATCCAGGATCCCTATGACTTTTGCACAGACACAATTTAAAACTTTCTCCAGGGTTTCATATTGAATGGAACTCTTACTTGAGTTTTATTCCATCTCTGCAGATGCAAGCCTACACCTCTTTTTGTCAGACAATGAGCACCATATAATTCAACCACATTTTCTATTTTCTTTTGCTACCAGGAATCAACCGAGAGCCAACTATAAAACCCAGTTGCATCAAACGTACATT